AAAATGATTGTATGACAGAAAGGAAAAATTACAGAATACATTTCAGCCTCTGCTAATGGTGGTAGCACACAGCCTCAGTTTTGGAGGGAGGCTGCTGCTTCCTGGGAAATTATAATCAATTTCTCCTCTCAATTTCTCTCCATCCCTGAAGGCCTGTCCATCAGGAAATGGTGATTTCTTTACTAAGATGTTCCCATACAGGTATCCCTGCAACACTATCAGTTCTTCTTGCCATCATTTCATTTCGTGAATAATTTCACAGCTCACTGCTCCAATCCTCTCATAATCTTTCAATTTTTTTCAATTTGAAGAGAACTACTGCATTACCAGTGATTTATTAGGATTTTATCTATGGCCAATTATGACTGATTTCAATAACCTGTTTCTCAAGCTCGCACAAACTATTGATTAGCACACACGTTTTTTAAAACTCTTGCCTCAGATTCACACACTACATTAACTCAATAATGGTTCCTACAAAAGACGAATAATAATATAATAAATCATTCCTACTGCCACAAAATTTGCCCATGCATCTCTTAACCTTGTTCCGCCTGACAGTGTACAGGTGACCACGTAAATACAGTTCACTGTGCTAATTAATTTATTGTGTTCTCTACAGAATAAGGTAATAAACAGCCTACTCAGGCAAAAAAGGGCATCAAAGCTTCATGTGCTCACTTACCAACTCTAACTGCACATCAGGGAAGGAAAAGGAATGATTTGTGCATATGTTCTATATAGATGTGTGTAGATAGAGCATCTAAATGCCTAATTGGAGCTTGTTGATGGCATTCCTCTATGGTCAGTGGAAGAAAAGTGGTACTGGAGAAGACAATTCTTCCCATCTATTGCATTTTCCTGAATGGGAAGTGATGAAGGGAAAGGCTAGAGAGAAACATTAGTCCAGCTTCCTGACCTTTAGAGGGCTGAAGTCAGTTGAAATGAACTTCATTCTCCTGTTGAACTTCGGCTGCCTGTGCTGGGTCTGTTCCCACATTAACGATGCTGTTGGGAGGTGACTCCGACAGTAATCAACACTTTGTAATCAGGTCCCAGTACAATAAACATTGGTCATTAAAATAAAAATTGGTCACTAAAATAAATCCATGGGTGCTACTCATAATAAAAAATAAAACAAAATAAAATAAATGAATGGAAAGACTTGTATAGCCCTTTTCTAGATTTAACCAGAATGGCCTTGATCTTGCAAACCCTTCACTACGTTTGTAAGCTCTAAGCAAACCTGGAGTTACAAGGACGTGTTTGACATGTGAATGAAGCAGGGCCTGCACGTTTTACTGAACTGGCCTTTTGCATTAGGTCCTGTTTCACACTTAGTGAAGCAAAGCAACATGGTCACAAGAAAAATAGCTTCTGGTCTAACATGAAAGAAAATAGCTTTTTGCAGCCTATTACAGAGTGCTCCTACTGAACTAAGGGGGAAAAAGTGAAGCACAAAACGAGGCAGACCAGCCTTCTTACTGAGTTTTGCTCCACGCAACCTAAAATTGCTTTTCCTCCGAGAATCCCCAAGCGCATTGGGCAATTACAAACAAATGTGATAAGACGTGGAGGTCTCAGAAGTTTTAAAATTCCTACAATTTTCTGAACACTGGCGATGGGATAAAATCATGCCTCTCAGTCTGCAGCCTTTCCGTAAGTGGCTCTAAGTGGGTTTCCCACTTACACAAGGGCTGCAGACTCAACTCCACAGCTACATGCTGCTGTGAAGCAGCACAACCACGCTGACAGCCAGCCAGCACTCCCACCCCCCAAACCCAGCCTCAACACTTCTGTGCTCCTCTGCAGCAGCCACTGCAGACATGGGAGGGAGTGGAGGCGACGGTGGGGACACTGGAGATGTAGTAGTGGGCAGGAGCTGCAAGCTCTTAGGAATGTAGGCATGGTGCCCTCCACTGCAAATTTAAAGAGTTCCTTACCTCTTTTTAACTGCAAAGATGCTACTAAAGAGTTGGGACTCCTAAGGAGATACACGCCATTTTATAGTTACGTTGCTCTAAATAAACATCGATAATAGCATTCATATGGTAAACAAAATTAGCAAGACTGGATCATAAAAATAGTTAGAACTTGGAAAACCATTTGCTTATGGTTAATAGCAGCACAGCTCTACCTGTAGGGCACTCAAACTTCACCCCAAGTGAGCTTTCTCTGCCCTCTTTTGGGAATTACATTCCAGGTGCAGAGCTGTTTCCTACCAACTATGTGGGTACGAAGCAGGTAAAACATACAATAGCAGAAACCACTTTGGCTCAAGCTGGCAATGAAACTTATTATCACCTAACAGCTGTTTAGTAGCCCACACCCACCCCTGCACAGAAGTCTGGTTTACAGCTTGTCTTTGCTGCCTGACAGAGCCCTCAGCACAGCTCATGAGTGCTAGCTGGGCTGTAGTCACGGATGGAGCACAAGCCCATCCCAAAGACCCAGTGACAGCCAGGGAGGCAGCAAGACAAAAGCTTCCGAACACCAAACTACAGCTGCAGCTCTGCCAATTCAGTGTTTTTGCATGGCCATGCTTCTGAGGGCAGCCAGAGCTGAACCAAGGCAGCTGCTGTGCAAGAGCCACCAGCAGCAGTCCCACCGCATTGCAGTAGCCCTCGGTGCCTTCTCCTCGGGCTTTGGCTCCGTGGCCAAGACACCACCGCAGTGTCTGAGCTTACATCTGGGGCTCTGCCCTGTTCAGGAGCTTCTTTCAGATCTTCCTACCCAACAGCCACCCCAGCTGGATGTGAATTAACTTCAGCTCACAGCTCTGAATGCTCCTACGGCAAGGCAGAAGGGCAAATGCAAAGATAGTGCTAAGTGGTTCCCCTTAGGAAGCACCAGATGTAGGCATTCCCTGCTCCACGGGTAATATCCCGTACTGGAGACCCCTGGGTTCACCCTCTTCTTCCTCACCCTTCTTAATTTGTAAGGGTCAAGTTCACCTTTTCCAAGGGGAAGTGCTTTTTGCCACCCGCTGGCAGAGGTGATAACAGAGCAGGATATTCAGCTTGCACGTACCTGTTCCGAATACCTGTGAGACCACATCCTGGCTGATCTGATCTGCCTGAACTACCAGCCTCAAGATTTGATACAGGAAGATGAAGGGCAACATATTTGCAGCAGGCATCCTTCAGAACACGAGGCAGACATTTTTCTCCAGTTCATCCGGAATTCTGCTTCATTTGGGACTTCTTTATTTGAATCTGAAAAGTGTATTTGTGAGAAACCGAATGAACTTCAAACAAGCACAAGGAAGCAGAATGCCATATGGCATATTCAGATTCACGGAGTTGCTACCCCGCTTAATAAATCTTCTTTTACGTACATTTTTGATAAAACTATTGTATCCTACAGGGATTTTAATTTTATGTCTCAAAAGGAGGTTAATATATTAAATTTTACTGTATACAGATTAAATGAGGACTTTTGAAAATTCTCAAACTTATCTGCACAACTAAATAAATTTTCTGACTTTGCACTTGGGGTAATTGTAATAGAGTTTTTGATCCCTGGGTAGATGGATGTAATAGTCCTATAAATCCCAGATTTTCAACATCTTCAAAGACTATAAAATGTTTATGAGAGAATATGGTTTTAGAGACATCTGGTGGTTATATAAGCCTAAGGAGAGAAATCAACCATGGCAGTATTAAACATAAATTCTACTTTTTCAACAACAGTATCCTGTAAAGAGAGAAAGAGATTAGCTTATTCACTGCCTCTGCACATACCAGGGTAAATAATTTACCCCAAGAGGTCACCTTGTTTATGGTGATTTGGCAGCTTTGCTTACAGTAGAAGAAAAAAATAATAATAAGATTTTTCAACATAAATTAATGGATGTTTCTTTCAGTGGTATTTAAACTTACCACGATTTAGTCAGAGTATGATGGGGGCAAGAGACTGGAGATGCTGAATATTTTAAATCCTACTGCTAGACAAAATCATTCTCTCTGTCTGCGCCTAGTTACCGTGTCTTTTGTTCTAACTTCTGGTGTGCTGCTTTTTGTTTAAAAGTTCACTAACTCCCCAGTATAATTTTACTGAAGTGCTTGCCTACAGCTAGAACAGCTCAGAAATAGAATCTCTAAACTTGTAGGATCAAAATACAGGAAAAGCGCAGGTACTCTGAGGCAAAGTCAAAGATCCATGCTTTTTTTATCTTCATTAATAACACACTTTAACGACTATTAGAGTGATTTATAAGGATTCATAATTTAAGTCTAGGGCCTTATTAAAACTTCAAGTGTTCAGTGCCACATCTAAACCTCCTCCATATCCCCACAGATCTTCTACTAGGGTATGAAACATAGAACGACTCATTTGGAGACATAAAATCAAATCCTCCTCTCAGTTACACTAATGTAAATCCGAAAGAAAAGGAAGAAAGAAAACTCCCCGGTTAGATAAAGAACATAAAAAGAAACCACTTCAGTTTTAAGTAAGAGTGAGAAAGCTGGATTGCCCTCCCCTCCTGTACCCGAGATGACAGGGCTGTGATTGCGAGAGATCAAAAATGTCCTCGCCAGCCCACGCCGTAGCACAGCCTCAAAGCCTTTTAAAGCAAGAAGAATTCACAGCTCCTGCTCGCCGGGGGCAGGACTGCTCCTTTCGGTGTTTAGGTGGGCAGGGAGGCCCCGTGCTCCCGTCACTCCGGTGTTCCCAGCCCACTGGCAATTTTCCCAGCTATTTTAGGAGCATCTGTTGTATCAGCCAACGTGTTGCACTCCTTCCCTCCGCTTCCCTGCTCGTAACACTGCTGCCACCCCGTCTTCACACCCCCCTTCCTCTCCTTGGCGAGCGCACGTTGCGCTACATCTCTGCAAGAGAACGAACTGACTGCAAGTGAACCACCACAAATTCATCTGTTCCCCAAGGCTAAAGTTTCTTGGCCACTTTTTGGTTGAACAATGGGGCTACCACCACTCCCACGGCACGTGCTTCTTGAATGCAACCAACCCCAAAGCAAGACCTCGGAGGACCAAAGCAAAAAGCAACCCTCTGCTTTATTTTATTTTTAGCTTTCCAAGCACGAATCAGCAGAAATTCTCATGCTAGGGAGGGGCTTCTCATACATATTTTTCCATCCTGATCACTCAGAAGCAGTTTTCTCTTAAAAGTCCTAACTTTGAATGTAATTTACATGCAATGAGCTGCATTACTATTTCATTACGTTTGAGATTATACATGTACATAATTCAGGATATTTAAAGCCACGGTTGCTGTAGAAACCGTAATTATATTTCTTGTTAAATCATTAAAGTTAACATCATTTATGGAATTACAGAGTGTTACGCAGGGGTAGGAACAGAGTGGTGTGTACGGCCACCTCACAGCTGAGCTCTGTCCGTGCACACACACATCAGGAAATGCAGAACTGAGGCATCTCCAAGGAATCTGAATAATCCAGCAGCTCAAATCCCATTTTAGACATAATTTGGCCAATTCTGTCTGTTGCTTTATGTTCAAAATTTGCATTCCTTGAAATGTCTTTAGGGGCCTCAAGTTCCAGCAGGACTGGCTTCCATGGGCTTGCTCTGATGAGGGCAGCACCTACAGTCTCCAAAACAAGATACAAACTGAATGGAGGAAAAAAATATACTGACTTTTGTTCATCTCTCACTTTGATCCCGTGCAGGATTTCCCCTTCTCCTCCAAACATGCCCTCCCCGAGCCCCTCCATCCTCTTGGGAGCTGATGGGCAGCTGCCTCCTGCCCAAGAGGAGCCCCCTGCAAGGACAGTGCTGTTTGGGACAGCTCATCTGCAAGCTGAGCTCATCACTCAGGCACACGCAGCCTTGTGGGATGCCGAAAAACCCCACATGGAGCAGTGATGCTCTGTACGCATCCCTGAGCACTGAAATCACTCTCATCATAGCTAATTACTCTGTGTCCCTGCACACCTGGGAGAGGGGACGGGCTGCTCTTGACACACTGCGGGAAGACTAAATCCTCATTTGTGGATCCACCTTTGCTCACAGAAGTCTGGGAGTATACAATGGAGAACAAAATGCCTTGCAGACTGATACTCTATCACCTCTTGAAAAATATGAGCTGCCTTCCAAAAAGGGAACAGCTGTGGGCTGATATCTGGATCCTTTTAGTCACATGAAAACTGTCGAAATTAATCACGTCTCATGTTCCAAGCCACAACAGAATTAGCATTCAACTGCACATCACCTAAATCATTACTTAAATTATCATCATTTGTCAGATGAATCCTCGCCTCCGTCTCTAGTGATAATCCATGGTTAATTGAAATGTTGCGTAATACGAAACCTGCTGGGAAAATCGTAAAAATTTTGGAATACTCATGTGAAATGTGCTACTAGTTCATCGGTATGAAGACATGTGAGTCTCCTCTGCTGAAGGCCAGAAGTTATTTCAGCATCAACACTGATTTTATATGCCTCATTATGCTGTAGCTTTCCTTATAATTTCTATAATTTCCCTTATAGTTTCCAGTAATTTTATAATTTTCTTTTTACAATTGAAAAAAAAAAAAAAAAGAAGAAATAATAGAAGAGAGAAAAGAGCCAGTGCATCACTGCAGTTTGGGTTTGCTCCCTGAGACCACACGCAGATAAGCAAACTTGCTAAAATACAGCTGCAGTTTTAGAGGCAGGAAACTTGGGAGGCTATGCACTGCCCTCCTAGGGAGAGGAGAGAGAGAAAGAAGGATGAAAAGCAAAACATAATTTCTTCTTCCTTCCTGCAGCTGAAGGATAAGGAGCGAGAGGACGTGCATTTTATCAGACTCACCAGAACTAATGCCATCTCAGGAGATCATAGAGCAAGTGCAAGATAAATCTTCCCTTTTCCTTCTGCTCTTGTAGCCATTCATGCCCATTCATGCCCATCCAAATGCCCATCCCAGGAATTCAAACGTGGTTCTCAAAGAGAAGCCCGGCGTCACCTCAGTGTGTACAAATCACCCTGCTGCACTGCTGCCATCCTATCTCTCAGGGTCCTGTGACCAGTGAAAAGGTGATCAATAAGCCACAAACACATCAAAAGAGTTCACACGTAGCTGTCAAAACATGGCAAATGGGAGAGAAAGAATGAAAAGCCTTTAGAGCCATCAGTCTTGAAGGTTAAGATGTTTTGGGCAAAGATGCTCACCTCCATACTACAGTCCCTGTGTACAAATGGCATTAACTGAGTCCCACCTTTTCCTCACCTGGGTTATGTCCTTCTCCAGAAACAAATTTTAGAGCCAATACATGGATTGTTTTTTTGCTCTGCCTTTTAACAGCTTTCAACTGTTAAGTCTTCACTGTTCCTCGACAATTTGCACACAGGTTTTCATGAGACCTGCAGCAGCACGGAAGGACTCTTCATCAGCTGGTTGGGGAAGAATTGGTAGAGGCACCCACCAATTCCTGGGACTGCCGTGGGACTCTGGACAGAGAGCTGGTGGGACTTCGGAAGGCAAGCACTGAACGGGGTGAATTTGGGAATTCCACAGCACAAAGACATGGAATAAAAACCAAGGAATAAAAACCTCCAGTGAGAGCAAAGCCAGATCCTCTAAGTCACATCTACACCATTCACATGTGAGGGTTACAGGACTCAGCCCTGGCTCTGTTCCTAACAAACTCCCTCTAAAGCAAGTACACACAAACAGGAGGCACTTCTAGCTCCTAACCTGTTCGCTGCCCATGCTTTCTTCTCCCCTTTGAAAAGTTGATTTAGAAAAATCACGATGAGTTGAAATACACATCTTCCCAAAAAGCAGGTCATCTCTTGCTGCTTGTTGATGAGGTGGGAACTTCAGCTTGTTCCCACAGTTCATTATATGGTATTTAAAGATTTACTAGAACACAAAGTTCGTATAATTATCGTGGTACTTGGCATAGTCTTAGGTGCTCGCACTAGATATGATCCCACTGAGTCTTTCAGGCACTGTCCCAAAAAAATCTGATGTACCATCTACTTTCTCCTGTCACTCCTCATTATTTTTGATTAACTTGCTTTGCTGAAAGACTATTACACTGATTAAATCAGAAGGATTAGCAGAAAGTCAAAACTACACCTTTGAACGTGAATCTCTAACAATTATAAAACAAACTTGAAGCTACCATGCTGCTATAGAGTATTTAGAAGCAATTCAGCGTCAGCTGTCAGTCAGATTTCTGCAGCCTGAACTAGTTATTTCCAACTGGGAACGTATCTAGCAAAGTCGTAACTGCTGATTTAATGAATGATTATAATGGTTTTGAAGTATTCACTTCAAAAGTTTAAGCAATACAAAACTGATCAAACTTTTAAGTCTCACTGCAAACTATAAACTAAATTCAGATTTAGCAAGAATTCTCTGTAGCCCAAGAACTTGCACCCAACAACCAAACTACTGCAATTTGTGTATTATATTACTGCTAATCGCATCACAACATTTTATTCAGAACTTACCCAAGTAAATTAACAGGATATGTACAAGTTCTCCTAAATAATAAAAAAATGAATAATTGAGAAGCTCATCCAAAGGCCACTGCAGTCATTAGAAAAAGGCTGACTCCAGCTGTTTTTTTAGTCCAAGTTTACCTATGAACTCCAAGACTCGGCCTTATGTAAGTAAGGAACTGCCTTTAAATTGGCGAATAACAAACACAGGAGAATGAAGCATGTCCCTGCAGATCTGCATGTGATACTTCATATCGGAGAGATCCTCATCTTTATTAAAGGTTAGGATTTCTCATATCCTGTTCCGTGGCTTCTATCAACACTGCCAGGTAAATCTTCTACGTGCAATGCAAAGTACCAAAGACTTTCCTGCCTATCTTTGACAGGGTAAGAACATGCCCAGCTTCCTTTAATATAAAAAACCGTAACAGATTTCTAGCACTCCCACTTCCTGCCAGAGCTGGAATGAGAAGACCTTTTGCTATTTAATTACAGTGTCATTTTTTTTTCCTCTTAATGTGTGTCAAAAAAAAGAAAGGGGAAGCGGTGGGAAATCATACACTTTTTTTTTCTTTTGCTTCTCCTTAAATTACAGTCCTGACATTTGAGGGAGGACTCCTGCCAGAACAGGTCATCGTCTTCTCTCATCCCTACATGCCACTGCTGAATCTGACTACGCTTGGGGCTTTCAGAAACCTCCCTTCTTGCCCCTGAGCAGGCAAGGCCCTCGCATGCGGGTGCCCCGAGCAAGCAGCGTGCGGCTGGGAGGCGCAGTTAGCTCACCATTATCCCTCTTTAATCACAGCTCTGCTCTGTCTTACAGTAGACTCACTTATTAATGTTGCTTTGGAGACAGCAAAATTGCCCTAAAAGATTCAGCTAATGATAAAATTCATCTTTTTAAACATTTCTCTCATTGTTACATATTTATCCATTTTATTTCTGTTTGTACATAGGTGTCTGCTTTCATTTATATTCATTTCATTCAGCCTCTAACGTTCTGGTGGGTTGTAAAAACAATATATATTAGGGAAACGACAACAAATTAATTTTACAAACATAATGCCTAGAGAGGAGGCCTACAAAGCTGTCCTTCCTCGTGTATCATTGCTGCTTATGGCAGAGGAATTCAGATGATCATTACCAGACAAAGTAACTCAAAAAAGTAAAGACTGTCACTTCTACTTACGGTTTGCAGATTTAATTAATCTTCCTAATCTATCACGCTGTATTTTATAACCCAAAGAGAGAGGCACTTCTTCTTTTAAGACCTATAAGCATCAGGGAGAAGGCGGATAGCCCCTGAACCCCAACAAACCTGAACCTCAGCTGCACACAAAAGCAACAGAAATCTCAGAGATTAAACCTGTTTCAGAATTTGTTAGCCACACCACGAGCCTTTCTTCCCCACTGAGCAGTTCTGCACCACCCTTTATCCACCCCACTGGAAACCCAGCTTGTGCTCACAGCAGGGAGAAGCCACGCCAGCTTCTCCCCCCAAAACACCAGTGAAATGGCTGAGGGAAACGAGGAACCTCTGCCAAGTGGCAAGGACTGTTACTGCTTCTCTCCCCTACATGTTTTCCAGGCCACTTTTCTCCCCACATTGATCAAATGCCAAGTTTCTGTCTTGCCTTGCAGGTTGGAACAATTTCTGGTACAGCGCAGAAAACAGCCTTAGCCCACCTGTGCAGACATCACCCAACTTCAGCCATCCCATAGCTGGGGTCTAAGCCAATCACCAAGATCTTTCTGTAGCCCCAAAAGAGAGAGAATCTAACTCAACATGCAGTTTTTGCTCTCCTTGTCTCACACAGCATTCTTACAGTGGGACAGACGCACTCTGGGCTGTAACAGCCCTTCAGAGACAACAAGGCACGTGCCGCAGCCTCTGCTGCAATAGGCAAAACAAGAAAGGGATGAAAATCACCTTCTTGTAACTTACAACTCATGGCATTTTTTAAAAAGCACTACAGATGTGCCATCCTGATTATGTTCTTCCAGGTGACTTCAGTATTCAATTACAGGAATTCATCCAAATTGTCATTTATCAGTGAGTAACTCTACCTTCTTGATCTTCTCACTCCTCTGTGCCACCCCTGAATGAAGCTTTCAGAACGTAAAGAAATCCAGGCCAGCGAGTTAAGAGCACAGCTTGCACAGCCAGTCAGCAGTAGCCCAGCACATTTCCTCACTTTTGCTCCCCAGCTGTGCACACAGGGTGTGTATCCTCAGCACACAAACCCAAGGCTCTGGATAAATACAAGAAACAACTCCCCCAGGCCCGTGCCAAGGTTTATCCTCCAAAACGTGCAGGCAAGGAAATTACACTGCACTTAGGCAGCTCTTTTATTCTCAGTTTGCAAACTTTAAACTGTTCAGTGACCCGGTAGAGCATGACAGCTTTTTCCTATATTAATTATTTCAGTGCTGGTAACAACTTAAGGCAAGCCTGAAAGGTGAGATACGCTGTCATTACCTCTTAGTCTGCCAGCTTTCAGATTACGGTGTAGCTTGATTTCAGTTTCCAAAATCTCCAGTTTAACAAGAAGGGTTAATGCAATAAAACAGCATAGCTTCTGCATGTCCCACTAATTCTGAAATGTGAAACAAAAGGGAAAGGCTTTTTAAGAAATTATATATTCAACCCAAAACCTCTCTTACTGAGGATGTGCGCACACTCCATACTGGCTGTACAGAGCAATTCTCTGCTCTCACTGACATTTTTAGTTATCTTGTTCCACTTTAAGCTAGTGACCTCTTTCAGAGCTAAACTGACCTTTAACCTGCCAGACGACTTCAAGTCAACAGGAAAAGGGACTGCAAAGCTTGGGTCTCCTGCCACTCCTCTGAGAAAGATGTTTCCACATTGACTTTATTTCATACAGTTTATCTTCATTCGCCTTTCTTCAATTTTAAGACAGGTTTTGAAGACGCAGCTGTAGATAAGGAAAGTCGCTGTTATTGTGATCTCTAGATACTGATACATGAATCAAAATTCACCTCATTAGCTCCAAGAATGACAGGTTATTAGCTGTTATTTTCTACTAGCTTCTTTTCTCTTTGTCAGAACTACTACCCACTGAAAGCTAATATAAGACAGCAAAAAAAGACTGATTTTGTATGTGAAGACCTAATAACCATCCATCTCGGAAAAGTGCACTTTAAAAAGACTTAATTCCCCGTGTTAAGTATTTTTGCTAACAAAAATGTGTATGCAAACATCACCATTTGCAATGAAGAGACATATGAGCAGCTGATGCCTGTAATACACGTGCCCTTCCCCTCTAATGCAGCCTCCAGAAGGCAGCGCAAGGCCTGGGCATCATTAGAGGCCGATGTAATTGCATTATCTACCTCGGTGCACTACATAAAAACATGGGGCAGGAACAGCACAGGTGTGCCAGGAACAGCCTGCCTGCAGAAGTCCCATTGGCCCCATTTTCTGTTTTTCTGGGAGCGCCTCCGCATTTTGCAGCATCCTGGAAGCGGTGCCGCTCCTGCCTTCGCTCCCTGCCTCCCCAGGGAAAGCAATTTTGGATGAGACGAAAGGCTTTGGCACTTCTCTAACCAGACCTTGGGTTGGTTCCCTGTCCCCCCATCCAGGTACAATTACACACTGCACCTTTTCCAAGTGGTTATTTTCTCAGGTCTTTTGTAGAAATACCCATTCAGCGGAGATAAGCTCATCGCTAAAAGCCTTGGATCTCATCAGTTTACTTCCCCCTGCTTCTAGCTTTCCTCCCAGTGCTGATATCCCTGGTTCTGGCAACACACCGATCTATGTTCTAGTACCAACCAAGAGCCTCAGCTTTGGGACAGATAATACAGTCCGTTCATCTGCTGCTGTGCCATTGTCCCCTGCTCCCATGGAGAATTCCTCCAGGCTAATGGGGCACTGTCACCTCCTTTGTCCAACCACTCGTTGTCTTTACCTTTTTGTATTAACACTCACTATTACATTGTCAGGCTTTTTCTTTTTCTTTTTTTTTTAATCCATTTACTCTTGGAATTATCTTCTTTTTGAAGACTTTTGAGCTTCACCTAGCATCCTACCTCATGGCCATCCCTGGGATATTCCAGATTTGCTGCCTCCTTCACACACTTAAAGCACTGCCAACACTGTAAGTTCAATTGCTGAATAACTTGCTGATGAACTCTTTTAGGGTTATTATTATTATTATTATTTTTTTTTATCTTTCATAGCCCCTCTCTGAGCACCTCTCAACCTTTTACTTAACACTCAGTTGTCCCTAAACTGCAAGATGAGTTTTCAGCCTTCTATGAGTTGCAAAGGCTCCCAAGTTTCACCTTTCTTGAAGTACTCATCACACTCACACATTTCTCTGGCATTTCTCATTTTGATATCCTAGCTCCCTTCAATGCCTGTACCATAGTTTCATAATTATTGTCTCCTGAGGTAGCAGAAAGTGTGTTATTTAAAAAAAAGTCAAAACCAGCACCTGTCAAACACAAAGCTGCTTCCAACATCTGCTTCCAACATCTCCCTTCTTGCTGGCACAAGGCACTTCCAGCCACAAGACGAAGCGCCGTTTCCAGAGGGGTTGAGATGCACCAGGGTTTTTAACTGCTCTGCTTTTCCAGTTTCTGGAACGTTTTACTGTTTTGCTCTGAAACAAAGCAAGCCAGATTACCGGTCAGAGTTTTCTTTCATTCAGCAACTCTTTGGCCGGCACCACCTACGGGCTGCCTTACACCAGACTTCCAGCAGACCTCGCAAGAGCCCGTTACCCGGCCAGCTCTCCCAGTAACACCAGCCCCTGGCAGGACTGGTTGTGCTGATAACGCACATTTTCCCTAGAAATCCATTTTGGTATCTTGGCTACCATTAAAAAGCTTACAGATAGACTTCAGTACAGGTTGTGGGCTTTAATACAAAAGGCTTAGAGCAGGCTCTTGCACTCTGAACTGCCGAACTACACAGGATGCACTTTTATGCTTTAATATTTCTGTGAGGTTACCAAGTTACAGTAATGTGCAGTGATGTATTTATCTGCCTTCGGACAGATCCTAGTCTTCAGGCAGATGAGCATAAATTGAAGTAACTCAATTGTTCTTGTGTTTTCTCAGGAGTTACACTAATTTAGCTAACAATTGTCTTCAGACCATTGAATTAAATTGCTTTACAAGGCAGCACTTTAATGTTCATATTCTTTAAATTAATATAAACGTGTCTTTCCATTATATTTTACATAAGATCCATTTCAAATGCATTAATTCAATTACCTTGTTTTATAGATAGGCTTTTACCAGTGCCAGAAAGTCAGTGGCAAGTTCCTCCTGGCAACTCCCGTAGCAAGACTGAACTCTAAATGTGCATACATTTACATCTGTAAAGTCAGACTTAAGCGATGAAAATGCAATTACTTAAATTCTGCAGACTTTGACAAAATTGTGTTCTATATATGAGATTTTGTAAATGCATGCTTGTTTCAGCCTGTAAGCTGCATACACCATGCCACATCCCACACCTTCTAAAATCAGCAGTTGCATTCCCCTTGGAGCCAACGGGAACAAAATTTGTCCTATGTTCCCCGTTACTAAAAGAGGTGAAAAAATGCAGTGTTAGTGGCTTGATATAAGCTGAAAAACTGAAAAACTTTCTCTTCAAACATGCTGAAGTGTATCAGGTCTTACAGAAAACTTAATCTGTGAGGTTCACCGACCGACAGAGAGGCTTTCCAAATCTCCTGCTCACACAGCCAGGAAAAAAAAAATTAGAAGTGTTCAAACTTTGTACTTTTTATGCAACTTAATCCTACCCTCCTATACACTCTGACAAGCAGGAGCAATGAACATTTCCAACCAGGGCATTTGTCCTGTGACTGCAAATCCAGTGTTGCCCCACCTAGCTGGCAAAGGGGAAGCAGAACCCAGACAAAATCTTCCTTACCACTTTGAAGAGGCTGCCTTGTCCTTTGAGAATCACACGTGCGCCTGGCACTTTGCTTACAACAGAAATATCAGTGCAGCCACTAAGGTAGTAGGACATGGGAGTGGGATGTAATTAATACGGGACCTGCATCGTATTTGGATGTGAATTTCTATATATTGAGTGTGCTATAGGAAGTTTGTGCAAAAGGGCTGATTGTTACTCACTGCTCATACAATGTACTTGATCAACCCAAGTATTTCCTTACGAATTACTGGAAAGTCAATAATCATTGTTTCCAAAGATGAAGCTCTCTTTCCACGAGCCCACATCAAATATCGGATTCTTCCCTCTAAGCAAACACCCTGTTAGAAAGAAGGAGGGGTCCACAAACGTGCACTCGGGTCATCCACCCGCCTGGGCTGGGGCTGAAGTCCTGGCACCAGAAGTCCAACCCGGCCAGCTTCGCAGTGCTGCAGCCTCTTCACTACAGCACCAGAAAAAACAATTCTCTGCCCAGATTTATCCCGTCTTTGTCCCTGCGCCACATACACACAAAAGAAAGTTTGCTTGATGTAAGTCGGAGTGCAAATTGAGTGATGCTTTGTACCAGCCAAGGATCTCCTTCTGGGTTTTGTGCAGTCACAGAGATGAAGCTCATTATTCACGTAACCACTGCAAAAATATTATTCCAAGGCCTGGCGCTGCCTTTTTGTTCAAGCAAACCCCTTGCTGAAGTGAAGATTTTTCTTTTTATTAATGTTTGTATAAGAACAAAGAAAGTTCTTTTTAATTTACTCAGTAAAGCAAAGAAATGAACAGTGAACATTAAAATACTACATGGGTTGAGATATTTCAAAGCCCAAACAGCTCTGGTTTAATGGATGTGTATTTTTTGCCTGTATAATGAATGTTTCTAAATATACTCAGAGAAAAGGAAGACTATTTACCATTTTAATATTTAATATTTTGCAGCCATATATATGGAAACAATTTGCCATGGGTATATTTCTGGGGAAAGCAAACAGCTCCGATACGAAGCTGAAATGTAGCACTGATTGTAAAAGCCCACGTTTTGCATCCCAAACGTCAAACCACGAGCAGTTGACCTCCGAATACAGAGACGAGCTGTACAGAAACCAGCAAGCAATCAAAAGTTAAGCACAGTTTAAAATCCCGCATAGTGGTTCATGCCCACGTCTGCTCCCGTGCTGGAATCCTTCACAACTGGATCAGCTGCAGCTTCTGCCTCCACCCCACCTCCTCGCATTTCTCATTTTAAAAACTGATGTTGGTTTGAAAGCTGCTTCCTTCACAATGCCAACGACTGGGATTTTCATACCATCCCTTGGATTCCCATCACCTGCTGCTTGGAGGTGGCCAACACACAGGGCACCTACGGCCATCCCCTCTGCTCCAGCAGATCCGACGGGATCCTCGGCAGCACCAGGAGCCCAGGCAGGGCTCCCCTGGCCACCAAAACACCTCTTGGGCAGCTGAATCCCACTTCTCACCTCACAGATTTCTAAAGGCAATTCCTGTTTGCATTAATTAGCTCTGATAGCAAAAAATTGCTGTTGAATACACAGCAAGTGCCACTCTCACTGTCAAGACAGTTAATACACCGTAAAGGGTCAGCTGAGTTCCTGCCTGTCCACCTCCTGAAATAAAATCTCCCAATCCCACAAGGAACAATCTTCATCCACTCCTTTCTTTTCTTTTAAGATTTTGCCAATTGTTTTCTTACAAACACAGCAAATAACACCCAGTTCCCCAAAGGGAATTAAACTCCAGGTCTCTCTGGCTCAAGCTACGACCGTGCAGTTCATCACTTGAGCCGCAGATACAAGTCTTCAAACCCTCCGTGGAAGCAGTAATTACCTGCAGCTTCTCGTGTGCATGCAGTCTGTATGTAAATGAGAAACCACAAACCTATTACAAATTAGAGGCATGAAAATGTGTAACTGTGGTGTTGCCTTGGACTTAAGCAAGTGCCCTCGCAGGGGTCTAACCACCTGCAGCAAGTCACCGAGGCCACACACATCCCTGCTCATAAGAAGGCTTTATTAATCCTCTCGTGAAGCAGCTGCTTGGCACTCTGCACTGGAATGGCCACTGAAATACAGCAACCCCATCCGAACCGAAAGGGAAACCCCTGACTCCTGACACTTCCCTACCAAGTTGTTGTTTTTGGTTTTCTTGTTTTCACCTGAATGGTTCAGCTTTGGTACAGGTAACCCATCAGCTGCACGGCCCCTACAGGAACGCTTACATGGTTAAAAGCAAGTCTCCTGCTTCCCTGGGCTGGGAGGCTATTTTCTATTTTTCACTATTTTCCTTTTCATAGCCATTTTGCACACTTAAACATGCACTGCAAGCTGCATTCAATTTATCTCTCCCTGCGTTACAAATTTCTAAATGGACCCCGTTCATCCTTCTCATTTTGTTAATAAATCAGTTTGGTTGCCCGCAGATGCCTGCCAAAATCGGGAAGATTCATGAGCCTGAGTTACAGGCATTTATTAATTAGAGGAATCAAGGTGTCACAAGCACCAAACATCTATCCCAAACTGAGAGCTGGCAAACTGTTGCAGCACTCCACCACTGTAACAATGTGATAAAGACAGGAAAAATAAGAATTTGTAACACCCCTGTGCTACAAGTCCCCATCAGATCATTAACTTCCTGCAATTTTTGGCCCCATTGTTCTGGGCAATGCTGCCAGAGGGGGGAACACATCCACACATCGGGGTTTTTTGTCCTCTTGAGCCAGTCCAGCATCAATCAGCCCACTTTCAGTTTACTTACCCCACACCCTGAACACATCACTACCTGAAAGATGCTTCACACGGACAACATCCCCGTGCAGGAATACTCCCTGTGAGCCTTGAGGAAGAAGCACAGACACATCCCCACAGGCACCACAGGATGTGACAAGCAGGCCTCCACAACCTGCATTCGTGGGCTGAAGCTGGCTGAGCAGACAGAGATTTCCCAGGACCTACCTAGAGCCAATTCACAGAGCACAGCCCCTCCGTGAGCTGTCAGTACCACCAGATTCCTTGCTGGATGCAGACACAGCTAAAAGAGACACTGGTAACGTCTCCCTGCGTGCACACAAGCCAGGACACCCGCACCCTGCAGCACAGACCTGCTCTTGGAGGTGAAACTTCTTTTAAGAAGAGTTGCCAAGAAATACATTCTGAATTAGACTTTCTCTAATCTCATATTCAACACACCTTCAATCCCTATTTGTTCCTGTATTACTTTATGTTTATACCTGCTTATTTCACTCTGCTTCTCTAGTGCACAGCAGCCAGCTGGATGGGAAAGGTATTTACTGAAGCAATCCCCTGGTGCCTGCCTCTTGTTTTCTATCAGCCTCGCTGCATGCAGGAAGCGCCAGGTAGTAGCCACCGTGGCCAGGGACTTGAAGTAGCCAACACAGCTGAATTTCCATCATCGCACTTAGCTCCCCAACCCCTGGCACTCCTCTTAAACCCATCCTTTCTGCCCTGGATGACAAGCCACGGGCACGAGATGGGCCAAGCCCACCTGTGGAGATGTGACAAAGTTGTCAGCAGCTCAAAGAACTCATTTTGTCCGCTCTGCTCCAGCCTGCCACCCCGTCTTGTTTGGGCAGCTCATTAAAAAGCCATGAAGGTTGGTCAGTCGTGCTCAGACTACAGATTTCCACGCTCACGTTGTTCCTAAATATTTAACTAGCAGTCTTGCCGTGACAGCTGCACGGTTTCCGAGGTGTTTACCTCCACGATAATGGCTTAGTGCCACGTGGCTGGTTCCTGGATCTGAACGTGAGCTGCCAACCTGCCCACGGGACGGGGAACGTCTGCGCGGGTAACGGGACACAGGTTAGTGCAGTCAGCACCTGCCAAGGGAACAGAGGAACAAGGGAACAGAAATTAAACTTCTATGAGTCATTTTGCATCTGCCCTGCTGCTGCCACCCTTCACCTAACCACCCACAAACCTCGCCCCCAGCTCCCAGCCCACAGCCACTCTTCCTTACCTGATAAAAGCCCCAAATCCCTGCCCATCCCTGCACCACCCGAGGTATAGAGGGGGCTAACTGCCCCACAGCGAGTCAGCTGCACGGACACACCCTAGGGTCTACTGATTTAGGCTGCCCCAGCAGCACTTTATTCCAAGGATTGCTCAGTAAAAAGCAGGAATTGCTGCTGTCTCTGTCCTATTCTCATTCCCCAGCAGCCATTCAGGTTCTGGCTGTGTAATTTTAATGTCTGATTGATGTGCCCAACCCATCTTCTAATAAAGAGGGATAAAAAATCCCAATTAGATACTTAATACCAGGGTACCCGCCCTTCACCTATAACTGCCCTTTTACACTTATAAAGGGAGCTGGTTTAGTTCCTCCTACATATTTACCAATAATTTCCCTTCCTACGTTAATGCTTCCAGTGCTGTTTGACATTTCCTTCTCCTGTTTTTCTCTTCCAATTACTTGCTATTGGCTGTGATTCTGTGTCTTTTATTAGAGGGCTGGAGGGCCACCTGCCAGATATTCCACCCCTGCTACAAATGCCTCACGTCAACTTCTCCATCTAGACAACAGGTTAAAAAAATAAAAATAAAATAATTCAAAACCAACAAACACCTATCCTGTTCTTCTCCCTCCTTTGCTTTGTGGGTTTTTACAGGCTGTGACCACTGTTTCTGAGTTCTGACATGACTTTGACTGAGTTATGAATTAAAAAAATGAGGTTCCTCTAACACCAAAAAGCTTTGATGCCACAGGACTGCGATGCTGTCAACCAATACTCCAGTACAGTATGGGAACTTCGGAAGGACTGAGCATATCCCCTTCAAGTTTTGGATATCTCCAGTTTTATTTTCAATCTCTCTTCCCTAAAATTCAGGGCAGGATTTCCTTAGTAACCAAAACTTTGAAATTGGACAAGATTTTTCAAGTATTTTGCTCATCCACCATTTAGAGGGTAAATATTCCCAACGAGACTTGACAGGATTTTCCTTTTTCTACCCTGCTTCTATTTTTTCTAAGCAGAGTAATTGCACCAGAATTGTTTTTCTCGATCACCACTGCCTTAAGGGCTAAACTATTGCATTGCTCATTTCTTTTGGGCCCGTTTCACCTGCTGAGAGCAAAGCTGCCGCGCCCCACCAAAGCACTGCCACGATCCTCACCAGCCGAGCACCAGCCACCACCGTCTCGTTTGGCACCGCGGGGTAATTAGCCGGACTTTTAACGGCCTGACCCCGCTGCTGGAGGTGCTCCCTCCTGCCGAGGTGTGTGGTTTTGGGAGAGACCCCGTGCCACAGCTGTGAGATCACACGTGTGGGCACAGCCAGGGCAAGGCGGCTCTTCCCTTGTTCTCGTCAAACTTGTGAAGTTTCCCCTTAAAATACTTCAGCCATTAGCCCTGTGACACCAAAACAGATGCTCTCTTTTCAGCCTGCCCGTACACTATCTTTAAGGCCATCGTGGTGTGTGTGTGTGTGTTTTTTTTCTTTATATTCCCCATTAGAGGTCACTTTTATCTAACACTTAGAGCCTTTAATGGGGCCATGCATTTACCTTCTGTCGAGCGCTTTGCGCTGGTTAAGATCATTACTTTTATTCAAACTGAGAACTGCCAGAATTTCCCCATTATTTCCTCTCAAATACCCTTTATCCTTTTCCACATTCTGCTCATTTGCTCGCAGTCCTGAACTTGTGATTTTAATGGCTACGCAGTTGTTTCCCTAATTGAGCAGCGACCCGTTCACTTCCAAGCCTATTTTTATTCCTCACTACCTTGGGTTAATTTGCAGCCTCTCTTGCTGGTGGAGCAGCATTTATTGTAGGATGCAGAGCAGCAGGTTCTTTTTCTCTTTCTGGGACTGTTCACTGGCTCCTTTAGCTTCCTCAGCCGCTTCCTATCCCCTCTGGCACTCTCTGGTGTAAGAGCAGTGCTAAATCGGAGCCCTGGCGCCGTGCACACGACTGCAGCCGGGCACTCTCATTTCCCTGTGGGATAAATGCTTACTGCTCCTCGTAAACTTCAGCACCTTGCTCCTCCGTCAGAGCAATAGTTTTGCAGCTGTTGTTTTCACTTCGGCGTGTATTTCTTTTGTCTTGCCAATTCTCGGGGCATTCGAGGTAAAGAAAACAGCTTTTGTCTTGGTGTGCTTTCCATCGGAGTTTGTGTTGGCAGAAGTTTAGGTCTCTGCAAGAAGCAATTTCCAAAACATCTTACCAAAGCAGCTCTTCGCAAACTACTCTGAGTAGCCATGTACATGTCAGATTTTTCTGTAGTCACTCGTTCTGTAACATACTCTGGGGTGGGTCTTCTCAGGATTATTATGGAGGGACACCGTCAGGGTCACTGGAGGCTAAAAAAGAAAGGTGGACAAGAGCCTTTGGTCTTTCTCCGCTCATGAACATCCCCAAAGAAGCAGGCAGAGCTGCTGGAGACCTCCTAACTGCTTTAAACTACTCCATGCTGGCCAAAACTAGGCCAGTGCTGGAAAACAGCTGAAGACTCAGGCTATCTGCAGTGCTGCCACAACCCTGAATTCAACCAGCAGAGACAAAAAGCTCCCATCCATCTCTTGCATGTCCTAGGGCAGAGCTATTGCATTTCAGAGAGCAACCACATCATTGGTGTCACTCGGAACAAGAGCCTCATTCTCCCCTAGCTCCCTCCAAACTGAAATCACTGGCACACCAGCAGCTGCCCCAGAGCCAAAAACCCCAGCAGATGAAGCTCCGGCTCAGCATGAGCCAGAAGCACGGGGGCATCCAAAGCTGCCTGAGATCCAGAGGGCCGAGGGGAGCCCCAAACCTTCCAGCAGCACCTCCAGCACACCGAGCATCGCATCTGCCAGCAGCATGCACTGCCCCTGCTCGCCCTCCATCTGGGAAAACAGCTCCCGAGTCAGAAGAGATTATGTGAGCTTTAGGAAGGTTGCCTGCTAGCTCCTGACATTTTCATTGTGCCATTTTATCTCTAAACCCAAACATCGTTTTTTCTGACTCAATTCTCCTCCGATTCTTAAATAGACTGTAATTTTTCTCAGTCATGTTCCTCCAGACTATCTTCCTAAATTAACATGTCATCTGTACAATTTTCAAATTAGTGCAATTTACCATTTCTTGATTCCATTCACTTTGTTCCTCAGGAATTTTCTGCTGCGAAGTGTGACAGCAGTATCTGAGCTGTATATTAAAAGCACAGAACTTCTTCCTCCAGCTTCAATTACCCAAACCCGTGCTTGATCCAAACACATGCTAATGCAGGAGAAAACCACCCGCTCCTCTTACGTTCTTGTACAGTGCTGCTACAGGATCTGAACAACGGTATTTTAAAAAGTCTGGAATTTTTTTAGTCCCAAATTTTGTACTAAGCAAGTCAGAATGACCTCTGGAAATATCAGATGTGCTGCCTTTTTCAGTTTTCGACAGTTTGAAGTGCTAGCAATAGGATGCCTCGACAGAAGGGTGATAAATGTCACAGTAATACCTACAAATTAAAATAAACAGGCAATTATTAAACATACCTTTGAATCTAGCGAAGAGCAAGTGGCACGATAATTAAATGCAAAACATCAGGGAATTACAATACAATTAAGCAATGCCCATATATAAGGTCACCCAACTTGAAGCGAGTGGTCTTCACAGCAAGCTGCTATGAGCGAAATGAAATTTAAACCTATATAAGCCACGGATTACAGTCGTACAGGTCTTATTACATCTAACACTGCGACACTCTAGAGTGGTTATGCAGATATATTTTTGAGTCTTCTGGAGTCCAAACCAGGGAATAGCACTCCATTAAGTTCAGTCCTTAAGTCTTCATTCCAAGCTGTTCTTAACATCCTGCTTTTGTTACACTATAAAGTTATGCTAGAAATGTTTCTTCAACCTTGAGATTGGTTGAAAACGTTTCCTCATTCCCCTGGAGAACGTATCATACAAACGGGCTGGTAGTAATTTTAACATTGGACTTAATTTCCTCTTCACCTGTGGGTATTTTATTAAAATTCAAAGGTTGTCTTTTTATTTATGCCTTTTACAAGACGTTTTTCTCCTAAGTGATGCCTCGCATCAGAAGATCCCTAAAGGTTTAAAGATTTGTGTTAAGAAGAAATTTAATCCTAGAACTTTTACTTTGCAAGTATTTTCAAGCCACATTATCTCCATCTTTTTGAATTCTCAACCTATTTATTATAAATCCCAAGTTCTGGAGATTTTGCTTTTCCCAAGTATTTTGTGCCTGCAACTGAACTTACTCACATATTGTGTAAACTTCTTTAATTGCTTGAAAACTGACTTGTTTCAGTACTTCTTTTATTCTTTTTAGAAAGTATTGGTTGCTTTGCCACTCACATGAAGTTCTTTTTTGAGACTGTCCCTGCTTTCAGTCTGGCTGCTTGCTTTTCAACACCTACCTGGACTCTCTCCGTGCCTGAAAAGACCTCTGTTGAACAGCCGTAGCTTTGTTGTTACAAGTATCAAGCCAACAATTCAGATTTAATATTATCTCAGAATACGAGTTCCCAAAATACACAAGATAAAAAACAATCAGTAAAATCCAAGCTAATTTATGCCTTCACATAAAGCTTTTTATCAAAATATTTCTAAATCCTTAGACCTATTCTAACTCACACCAATGAATCACTGAATATCCTTTACAATCTGTTGATTTTGTCCATTGAAATATAGGAATACAGAGTTTTATTCACAATGGCGTATTTTAAAACTTCTAGTTCCAGTATTCTTGAAAAAACATTTAATATATTGCCTTGAATTTCATTTTTTTTTCCATAAGCTGCTGTCCCTTCTTGACATCAAAAACACTTTAATTGCACCCCATCGTCATCCTTTTCTTTCATATGAAAAATACCTGGAACACTGTAGCAGAGGCAGTTGATTTCAGAGTTGAGAGTTTCCTTTGAGTTTTCATATTATATATAATGCTGAGATCATTAGTAGGGCTTCAAGTATCCATTTACAAAATTTGCATTTCAGCTCTAAAACAGCACGTAGCTGCTCCATCCATCTTTAAAACCCACTGCACCACAAAGTCCTGAAGTACTGCGGACTCCCCTTCCCTAGGGCACTCTGCTGATAACTGGAGCTACACCACAAAATGCCCAGGGAGCCTTCCAACCATGCTGTACGAAACCCCTTCCTTAGTGAGAATAAGCTGGAGGTCAAAAAGATACGAGAGAGGGGGAAAACGCAATATTCGTTTTGGGGTTTGAGCACTCAGCATTTATAATCTTGGCGAGACGAAGAAATGCTGTGCTGAGCTGCTAAAAGAAATGGGACATGAGAGACCAATGCTGGCTTTATTTCGGTGAGCATCCACAAGTGGCCACGAGTGGAGGCTTAGAGAACCAAGGTGACAATAGGGCAGATGTAGGGTGATACATTCCCCGTCACTAGCTTCCCAGGAGAAAGGGCAAGCAAGCCCTTATTCTGATCCCTAAAAGAAGCTGAAAGCACATGCAGTGAATTGTCATTAGCGTGCAGTTAATTAGCATTACTAGTGTTGTTACATTTCTATCATCTCCACACTGAGGTGCCCCATTGTGCTGCGCCCTGCACAAAATCTGAGCAAACTGAGCACTTTCCTCCCCAAAAGCTTACAATCCAAGCAAGAAGGCAGCAAAAATGAAGGAGAGGCAGGAGGGAAGTGATGGGGAAGCCTCAGCCAGGAGGCTCCCACCTCCTCCCCAGGCATGGCAGACACAAAGGGCTCCATGAATTTGTTCAAGTAATGAAAAGAATGTGGCATGGTCCTAAATGAGGCATTTGGTTAAAAAATAAAATAAACTGGTGAAGCCAAGTTTGCTGGGGGGATCTATATTGTCCACCTGGGCTTCCCTGGGAGGTGAGGACACACGGACACCAGGCGCTGGGGAAAGAAAGAGAGGGAAAAGAGACCAACACTGGGGAAATATGGGGGAACACTGAAAACTGATTATTGGAACTGTTAGAAATTACAATACACAGCTTCTATCAAACCTTTGGCCAAAGTGCACTTTTTTCAAACCATTTTGAACCACGCACATTTGGCACTCTCTAGTCCAGGTGTTCCTCCCTGAGCTTCCTTTTAGGACTACCCAGTACGAAAGGCAGCAGCACTACCCCGGGTTGCCTTTGAATTAGCCATCGTTTCTGCTGACTCTTTGCTCCTAAAGGAGGTTTTAGGCTTTCAAAATCATGTAAAATCGGTGAGAGCAGGAAGTCAGAATGGCACGGGTTAGGGATCCCTGGCGAGCTCTGGGGCAGGCCAAAGGCACGCATACTGCTTGGAGTTTTGGCTAAGTACCTCCAAGTTGCAATGTGGTTATGTCAGATGAAAAAAAGCCACTCGAATCTTTTCTACCACCTGAACTGCCGTGGTGAAAATTAAAATAATAAATCATCCTTTGACAGGAAGCAATTTTAAAAAGCAGTTTTAGATTTGGACTCTGACGACCGTCATGAGCTTTTTGCACACCTTTCACCGCGCAATTTAGTCGAATGACGCTTGGTATAAACAACAGAAAAATTAAGGGGGTTGAGGTGTGCTAGTTCCAATCCGGATGAAGAGACCAGTGTAGTTACTAAGATTTTAAAACATATCAGCTTGTCTGTTTCTGCTGAATTAACTACAAAAGCAGAAGTGCTTTTCATCACAAACATACCTCTGTGGACTAGCTGGAAAATTGAGCCTATTGATAGCTTGAAATGCGCCCACTGAAATACAGATAGCCTGATTAGTAAGCAGGAAGCCAAGGCACTATCCAATTTGCAGCTATTATAACTAAGCACATTACAGATGCTCTTATTTACATATCAGTACAATACTAATAAACTTGGCTCGCAGCTTCTGCACCGCATTATGGGACACCAAACAAAAGAAAATACCAAACCTTGGCACGGTTGTGTGTTCCTGGCAAGTGATTCATGCTGGGTTTTGAGCCTATTTCCAGACAGCGAGCCAACTCATGAAAGAGCTCAGAAAACACCAGCTCTGTGCCCTTGTGAAAAGTGGCTTTAGTTTCAGGAAAAACCTGCACCCCTAGAAAGGAAACACTTTCTCAAACTGCAGAGAGCAGGGCTTCACTGCGCATCAGTGGCTTACAGAAGCTGTGCTGCAATATTTGTAGATGGGCACACCCCCAGTCTGCAGCAGACTCAAAATATTCGGTTTCATTTACCCCAAGAACAGGTTTAGATTAAATTAAGCAACCGCAGTATATGACAGAGGCACATAGCTACAGGTCAACCTAAAAGGGATAAGTTGATGAGACATCTGATCACCTTTGTAAAATCCAGATATTATGGTACAGAAGAAAGGACTTTGGGAGTTAACATCCCAAACCTGTCGGCAGCCAGCTGTGCTGGGCAGGAAAGTGGACTCACTCAAGAGACAGCAGCGTGCCACGTCCTGGCACCTGGTTCAGATTTTGGTTTCAACCACAGCCTTACCGTGCAGGTTGTCAGAGGATGGGATGTCAAGTCTGGTGCTGAGCCCCGACCTCGCTGACGGATGTCACATAACCAACAAAGCTGGGGGAGAGACCTTTCAATCTCACTGAGGCAGAAAGCTGTTTGGCACCAGTCCTGCTCTAGTAAAGGTGTGTTTAAATCTGTACGGAGAGGAAGCAACTCCTCGGATAAAAAAGCAGGCTGTCTGCACTTAAAAGGACAATAGAGATAAAAGATTAAACCTGTCAAGACCCTGGAGGACCCTGAAGTGATCCTTCTGTGAGAGCAGGGCAAGAGAAGCCTTTCTGATTAAGTGACTCTTCTTTGCAGAGACCCCCAGCCCGGAGGGGTGAGCTGCAAGCAGAGCAGGGAGCCAGGCGAGGCAGGGCTGGATGGTTGCAGAAGAAAAGCTGCCCAGGGAGCAGAAGGGTTTGCTGTGATCCCAAAAACCACCAAGGCAACCGGCCACAAGCCTGGAAACTGGGAGAGAGCTGCAAGGACACTGTGGAGAAGGGGAGAGTATGAATCCTTTGTATTGTTCTGTCTTGTCTAGTCGACTCTGTTTCAAAAGAGCAGTTTATTCTAATGAGCAATCTAATGAAAACTGGCTTTATTAAGTTAAAAAACCTTTTAAGTCTTCTCTGAAAGCTCTGAGTACATCTGACTCAAAGGTTTGGCCAGCCGAGGGGTTTGTCACAAATCCTGAAGTACAATCTAAAACAAAATTTGGGAGAAAAAACTTTATTCATTGGGCTCCCACGATTTTACATTCCTTATCCTCAGCTACAATCGTTTCAGGACATTTCCCTTAATAAGGGCTCTTAATATGCTCCATTTACAGCCTCTAACTCACTGGTTTTATTCTGCCACGAGTAAGGAAACATTTACATAAACATTATAAAACTGTCAGCAACATCAGCTCTTCTTTCACCTCAAACATTTTAAAAGTTTATGGATTGGAGGTTTCTGCATGTTAGAAGTAGAGTTAAAGATTTACTACTGAAATAGTCTCGGATATTGCCCGGTGTCCCTCAGCCAGTTTGGTACGGTAACTAATGGCTGTACAAATTGGAGTTACGTCCCAGGAAAATCTCTGTGCTTGACACAGGAAGAGAGCCACAACTCTGAGAATAATGCAGACGTGAATAAAGAGAAGGCAGGAGAGGAAACCTACAAATCATTATTATGAATAACGGGGACAAAAGAGCAATGAGATTATCCCGCACACCTCTCACACAGTACTCGACAGCACTCTCAGAAACAACTGCAATTTTCACAGGTTTTAGAAGCACACTTGCTGTTGCCCCAGTAATCTGGTAAAATCACCAAGAGCAGAGAAGGCCCGCAATATATGCGCCCTGGTAGAAATGTCTACCTGCATATTCCACGTACGCTGTCGGATATTTATCCATCCATTTGGACATATTACACTTGCATGTGCTTGCGGCCTCAGATGCAGGTGAACTGCACACCGCAGGATCCAGGGGATGTTCTCTTATCCCATGCCCTTCATTTCTTTGATGTTTACAGGCCAAATTCATGCATAAGGTCTGGTTGCTGTGCTCCACTCCGGTGACACAAAGCAATTGTAAACCTTGCTCGACTACTCGGTTAAATTGGATTTATGGCACCTTTGAATCTCCAGAGCGTGGAGAAGCAGCTGGAGCCTGCCAGTGAGGCTGGCCCTCTGCTTCCCATAAAGGAGGATGTGCACCAGAGGCGATCTGCTTACCTTGAACGCTGGGCTCCTGCTGCCTCTCTTCTCTCTCCGGCTGCCTTTATTAAAATGCTCTCGCACTCTCTGAGCAGTATTTTACTCATCATTCAAGTGAAATCTTCTCTCTCATTTTTGCTTCATCTGGAAATCTTTCATTTTATGACAAATAATATTTGTGAACTGGTAGACAAACCCGTGGCTATGAGTACTCGGTGAAACACCCCAGGGTGTACCACCTGGCAGCTCTTTAAATTATTACAATTATATTACAACTCCGAGCAGAACTACCTTGGGGGGAGAACTCGCTTTTTGAGGGAGAATCAGACAGCACCAGCTAAAGCTGGGCTGTACCTGTGAACTCCAGCATGTTTTACTGGAAATTCACTGTTTGCTACAGTTAAGCTCGGCTGTAACCAGAAGGGCAATAAAAGCTTCAGTATTTAGCAGGGCAACATCCCATGCCCTTTATCCCTTGCTCTCTTCTGCAAGCCACTTCATTGTGTCCGTGCCCTTACGGTGCAGAGGACTCAAGCACACACTGAGCCTTGCACAAACGTAGAAGGATGCAGCAGCATGCCTGTCCCCAGACACTTAGCTCCAGACCTCCAAAGCACACAGCCCAGACAGCTGCAGCCATATACAAACTTCCCTTACCTCCCGGCAGTTCCTCCCAATGCAGATGTTGATGTGTTGATGAGCCCGAAGCACGATCAATATTTGAGCAGGCTCCAACAGTTGTCAAAAATTTCGAGCAGCAGCATTCATACTTTTTTTTTTTTTTTTTTTTTTTTTGGATATTTTGGTCTCTTGAGGACCTTTAAATTGATCGTTTTCATCCAGCAAACCTTTCTCCTACTCCCTGAGAAGATGTTTAGTGAGAACACTACATAAATTACCCAACACCACGAAGAGGTAGTAGCTCAAGCTGTGAATGAGGAGGGTGACCACACATTATGCCAGCCTTCTCTAGGCGCTGACATTTCACATTTAAGGTGTAAAGCTTTTTCGGTCACACCACTTCAGTGATTTTTACAAAATTAAACTACTACTTCCACTCATTTCAGTACCGAGCTGTAACTGCCCAGCACCGCCGTATTTAGCTCTTACAAAATGTTTTCACAGGCAAGAGTCTCCCCCGCTTAAAAATGGCACCACTTAAAATGTCATCAGCCTCTACAGCTTCATACTAAACATTACGAATAAAGGAACTGCCACTGAAATACAATGCTTATGCTCAGCAGCTTACAGGTGAGGACTGGAACAATAACTCAGGAGAAAGTCCTTATCCTTTAATTGAGAGCTTCGCTGCCAGCCCAGAAGAGGATATTCAAATGAGTGTCAACAACCCCATTGCTTACACACTCAGATGAAGAAGCAAAAAAGAGGGAGCTGTGGAAAGGAACAAGGTGAGTCGAATGGCAGAGCGATCCTGCGATCTGAAGTAATGGTCCTTGAGAAGACCCACTTTTAAGAGCTTGGGTAGCAAAGCACTTCACTGACTTTTATTTTCTTTAAACCATCCACACACTTTCAAGCACAGCACTTGCTGCAAGACAGAAGAAGGGTTTCAAGACCATGCAGAATTAGAAAATGATATTGGCTAGGCCTACGTGATAAAAGGAAGAATACTTGGAAGAAACTTGATGGCACTGGCACTACAGCCATGAATATCCTTGCCAGGTAAGAGGCTCTCTCTCTCTCTGCCCATCTCCTCATCATCTAGAGAAGCAGGCTGCTATTAATAGTACCAAATAATCCTTCAAGTCACTGCTGAATGCTTTTGTTTATAGCTTTATGATGCACTGTTTTAGCAGAGTGGCAATACGCAGCACTTCACCTAATACCACGAGATCCTGAGCGTCTGCACAGCCTTTAACTGCCCAACAGGCTGTACTGCAAAATATTTGTTGGTTTGGTTTGGTTTAGCATCCTTCTCTTTCTAGCTGCCAAAAAGCTCTGAATAGATCAACTTACCAGCTCTGCTGCCCCTGCCAGCCAGACCGCAGCTCCCTCCAGGTCACACCACGTGGCTCCGTTTCACCATTTTGAAATAATGAGTTCCCCAATTAAAAAGGTGCCTTTGAGCGATGAATAGGTGGTGGTATAAAACAGTCAGTACCTGTACAGAAGAAAAATGAGATTTGCTGCAATGAAAACCCTTATTTTTTGCTGCTCATTTAGAAAAATTAAAGCCAAGGAAGGCAAAGTAGAAAGGGATGATGCTGCTGGACTCACTTCAAATGTGTAAGAGTATAACAACATATCGCATTTGGTTAAGGTTTGCTCTAGATCATTTTATAGTATCCTCAGTAACTCTCATCCCAGATGGAATAAATATTTACACACAACCTACACTGGTATACAGAGCTTCTAGATATATATCAGCTACGATATTTATTTAAAAGCAAATTTTTATTTCATTACTTTATGCACTGAAATACAGTATTTTCTGGAAGAAATAAAAGGCTCGGTCTTTGCTTTGGCACTCTGCAGTTGCATTCAGTAGGAACCTTACAACTGACAGAGAATGCTTCCCAGTATCTGGGGACAGGCAGTATTTTTGGAGGCGTGGAGTCCCTGAATTCATTGCAGATCACGCCGAGCCAGCTTCAGAGCTCAACAGAGACTCTCATCTACCCTCAACAGGCTGAGGAGCATCTTGGGGAACAGAACGAGCTTGTAACAGTATTCAGCACCAGGAATGTGCTCAGAATTAAATGCTATCGCACACCTCCCTAATGCTCTTTGTACCCTCCTATCATCACATACACTGAAGCATAAAACGATCAAGCTAATTTTTTATTTATTTTTTGCTTTACATCATCCTATACCTTATACTGCTTTTTACAAGAACTGTTCAGAGGTTACAATCAGTGTGCCCTGTGTAAAATCACACCTTCCCAAATGTTCCTGCTGTCTCTTCAATCAACTCCAGCTCTACTTCTGCTCTGCCCACAGCCCCAGCCAACCACTCAGTACTGACTTCCCAACATCCTTGATGTACTTCAAACATACTGGTCCCATCACCTCCAAATTTCTTCTCAGAAATAAGTAACTCCAGGCTTGTAACAGCATTCATGTCTACCCATCTTCATACCATATAGCATACACGCCTCCCTAAGCCAAAAATCAATGTATTTATAATCTGAAAAATAAGTCAAAATTTGGAGAGACTTGCTTCCTGTGCTGAGGAACTGTGTACAATGGCAGTGTTAGCTACACTGCCACGTTTACCTTCTTAAATCAAAGATACAGAGATAGATCACAGAATCACCCAGGTTGGAAGAGACCTCCAAGATCACCCAGCCCAACCTCTGACCTAACACTACCAAGTCCCCCACTAAACCAGATCACTGAGCTCTGCATCTAAACGTCTTCTCAAGACCTCCAGGGATGGTGACTCAAGATACAGACATACTGCTCTCTGCCTCGTCCCGACAGCTGATAAGTGGCTGTATTTACACACTTAAAATTCACCTCATATTTAAAAAATAAGCATAAAGAATTCAGCTCAACCAGTTTTGTATTAAGGACACAGTGAGGGCCTACTGCCCAGCCTTTTTTATCAGTACAGATCTTAACAAACGTGAATTTCTATCTCCTGGAAATGCAAATTCTAACACAGGACAGTAATGCCTTCAAATATATACAAAATACCAGCACATACCTTTGGAAATGTCGCCATACCCAGTACACCTCAGCAAGTATTACAGACAGGGCACCACATCAGCTGAATGCAACCCTGCTGGCACCACCAGGTGCCTTCACAGAACTCAATTAATACAAGCTGCTTCCACGTGCAGCTGCAATTTAGATTAGTGAATTAAAATCCAACCTTTTTCACTTGCAAATGTTGGGTAGAATATATTTGTTATACACCACATCAATGTCACGTTGTGGGGGCACTGCATAAAAATGTCTTGTTTTGAAGATTTCAAAAAACTTTAGGCAGCAGCACTGCTCCTCGAGGATGGCAATGGGTTCACAGCCGCATGTGTGTCAGATACTTGAATTTCTCAAGTGAGAACAGCACAAACCAAACCTTCTGTGCTGACCTCAAAGTGACAGCAAAGCCCTGCCCAATGGATTTCTGTATGCACGGGGAATTTGTTTTCCACAATAAGCAGCTCAGTAAAACAAATAGTAGGCGACGGCTGTCTCTGACATTTGACCTGTTATCATCAGCTTGAAGGAGCAGATTCCTACTTGGGAAATTCTCGGTTTATTCCAGCAGTTCCCCTGAAATCACCGTGGTGCTTCTAGCATGCATCGCAGCTGCAGCGTTACACTGCGTAGCTTTGAAGAAGTGGGGAAAGAGGCAGGGAATTCAGGAACTGAACAGAAAGATGCACATTTTTCAGCAGGCAAATGGAGGGAATGTGCAAAAACCAGAATCATCATGGTCAATCTAATAGCGTATGACAACTTCTTCACATTGATTTGTCACATTTTGAGTTCAGCCAAAAAGCTGAATACTCATTTTTCCTCCGTGTTTTAGCTGATGACAGTCTTTTTATTGAAATTGGGCACATACTCCTTTATCTTCCTCTAAATCCTCTCCTAACACTCACCACTTCTCCAGCATGTAAACAACCCTTTTTTGATGGCAAGTAATGGGCCCAGCTGATCTCCATCGGTAGCCTCAGCTCCCTTTCCTCTTAGCCTGTGCTAAGGTCTGAGCAGCTTCCAGCATCCCTCTGCTCCTTCCACAGTCAGCAGCATCTTCCCCAAACCAGGCTAGTCTTTTGGGGATCCTCCACTGTCCAACCGTGCTGTAGAAACACCTGCAGAGCCCAGGGAAGAGGCAGAGCTCCTGGACACGGCACACGCAGCTCCAGTGCCAGCCAACATGTGCAAAGGGACACTGAAATGTAGAAAATACATGAATAGTTTTGTCTGTGTAACAGAATATGCACAGCTTACAACAAGCAACTTGGCAGGTGGCAGGGAGGTGAACAGCTCTGTAGCTTGACAATCCCCCATTTTGGAGAATGACAGTCGAGAATTGTTGCTGGGTTAGTTATGTGCCTTTTTTTTTTTTAAATAAGCGTATTCAAAATGTTGCAACCTATGCAAATTCCCTACTCCAAATGTGTCATCTCATTTACACAATACTTGTGTGTGCCAGTTCCCAAGAACCTACAGCATTTGAAATACCACTTGTAGGTAAATTCAGCTCCATTTGCACCAATCTGACTTTTCTGAAAGTGGCGATAAAGACGACAAAACCCGAGGGACTTGGGAGGATGTTAGACAGGAGCTACTTTGAATAATTTACATTCTCCCCTTTTAAACTCACCACTGCACAGGCAGAAGCTTAGGAACACAGATTTAGTTGCAGTTAAAAATCCACATCTTCTGCAGGTCCACAAGTCTTGTGAAAACTAACAGACATTTTACGTCTTCCAATGGGGAAGGAACACTTTGCAGGCACTCACCTCACCATTTCCACCCAAACACAGCAATAAAAGCCAAGAGGTTTGGTTCCATTTCCCGTGTCGTGATGGGGACAAACCCCTCAAGAAGGAAGCTTCAATTGGCCACACCTAAGACAAACACATTTGCTTTAATTCAATTAAAACGTCACTGATTTAGTGATGGAGCATCCAGTGTCCTTCCCCTCTCTTCATTAGTAAAAGAGCTTCTTGTCAGCGTGTTACTGCTACTTCGCCTCTAATCTAAAGCAGGGATTTTGAGAAATACAAACTTTGTAACTTTAACTTTCCTTTTACCCCCGAATCCAGGAGGTGATTTCGAGCAGCAAATCACTGTAATTGCATCTGCTACTGTTGCATTTTTCTTCTTCAAAGCTGATTTCAGCATTTTTTGATGGCACAGGGTATAACGTTTTATTGACCAACAAAGAAACATCCTGAAATGCATTTCCATCTCCCTCCTATTGATTTAAGTCAAGCCTGGCAATCATTTAAAATCAAACACTTTACGGTCTGCAAGAACAATCCGAAACACAAGAGAAAAAATTGTTTTGTACACACGTGGATGCGTCAGAAGCACTTGAAAAACCCTAAAACAACGGGTCAGACCCTTTACTTCAAACTCAATACATGGAGTCTCATCCCCGAAGCATCGAATCCCTTTGACGGATGAGTCAAAGGCTGGAAGACATGCCTTAGACTTTAAACGTGAGGAAATCAAGCTGTTCAGTTTATTGACAATAGATACACCCTTTTTTGGCTGTTACCGTTCTTCAGGGAGTGGATGTAATATTTAGACATAGGAGGGGTGGCACAGATCGCTGGAGAAAAAAATCCTTGATCTTTATTGAGTATCAGTTTATGAAGAGAAAGCCAACACAAGGTAGGTGTTGGTGCCAACACCATGAGACTTCAAATGACCCCTTAGCATCTTCTCGGTCCTACACAGCATGCCCTGAGCTGTGTCCCTCAGCTGAACTGTGCGGTATCACACGAGCAGTTCTGCATCAGGAGGAGCTGCCAGAAAGAGCAAGACGACAGAGACATCTTCTCCAGAGACAAGCCGGCCTCCGGGGATAATAAACACCTCAACAGCACTTCGGAGAGACCGGCGACTGCAGTGATGACTGAAAAACACTTTGCCACACGTACAGGCTTACTGTCAGACCAACACATGAGGAACTGCTGGAAATCCCTTCCTAGGAAGAGTCAGAAAGAGCAAGATGCGCAGGAGGAGAGGGAGCAGGGCACAGATTCCCAACAGAAGGTCCCAGGTTTGCCAAGAAGTAGTAACACTCCATGAGATGAGGTACTTGCCTATTTTCTTACTTATGCTAATGTTCTTCCCTGCTTGATTTGTACCTTGTATGATCTACCTCTCCCACTCCTGCTTTTACTGAATCGTAAAGAATACACCGGGGAAATGCCACGCATTAAAATTTCTGTCATTCTCGTAAGTGAAGCCACAAAGAAAAACGCCTTGCATGTTAATCATTTTTGAAGCCTCGTAATTGTTTTCCAATGAAAGCTGATGATGGCGTGATAGCTCTCTGAGGACATATATTCAGTCAAATGACTTTTTGCCATAGTCTTATACATAAACTATAAGCCTGATGAACAGCCCCATACCCTAATAGCTGCTTTTCCATGCTACAGCCCTAAAAATGAAATTTATATCACACAAAGCTCTAAGCATCAAACAAGCACACTCAAAGCTACACAGTAAAGGGCAAACCCCTTAACACCTCCCATTAAAAATCAGCCCATGGTAATGGAGACGGGGTTGGGCTCACCTTTATAGGCATCACGGATAATTTTTACAGCCAGGTTTCAATGTGAGGGTTTTGTTCACTTACAGAAGCAGGTTCTTGTAAGGTTTCTGCTGGTATCACCTGGTTTCTGCTACGCCAAAAGGACTCTCACAGTCTGTGAGGCAGTGCCTCCACAGCACCATGGGTTGCATCGCACCAGCAGGAGAGGAGCCGGGAGATCCCAGCACCAGCCCTTCAGCAGAAGAGCTGACGCCCAACCCCATTGTTGCCAAAATGCCAAGACCACATAACAGCAAGCAATGGAGTAAGAAGAATATCCTCAGAATGCTGCATCGAAATAGAATGGACTGAAAAGTGACAGGAGCAGGGGACAACCACAAGATCTGCCACATGTATCGCATTAGAGGCCACCCCAGAATCCCAAGCCCCAAATGTCTCCAGAGCCACCATCTCCCCAGCCCTGGCAGGTCCAGACCTCTTGGGAAAGGACATTTAATATCCCAAAATCCTGGTATCTTAGGGCACAGCCTCTCTTCTGATGTGTCTGGACACCAGGCTGCAGCAGCACTACAAAATGAAGCTCCAGCAGAGCCACCTTCTGCAAGAGAAACCGATGGTGACTGCCTCCTCCTCCTCCTCGCTGCCACGGCTGCTGGGGCCCTGCTTCTCGGATCACCCCAGGCGAGACGATGGCCAATACAGGCGCATCAGCAAATTGGTATTAATGACTGTAACGTGCAGTGATGTTGATGCCATGGTGCCAGATGGTGCTTTGAAAATGGTGCTGACTCACAGAAGAAAGAGGAATAATGAGATACTAAGCTACTAATAATTTAGCTTGACTCTAAATCCCAGAGTGCCATTGTCTTCCAGTAAATATCCCATAATACCCATCAAGGAAAGAACCAGACGGCATATAGCTGAGCAGCACAAAAATGCATCATGACTACCTAATGTTTTGTGCTTTTATATCGAAGGGACATCTCGCGTAGCAGATGTGGGGAGGAAGGAAGCAATCTTGCCAGAAATGAGAGAGAAACGTTCGCGATCCTCTGGGGACAGCCCAGAACCACAGGCACATCTCAGCTGGGCATCGTGTGGCATTTTGTGGTAGGTTGCAGCATTTTGGACTCCCTCCTCTGCAGTCTCCAGCTCAGACTTCTACATAAAACATTTTTAATAATACATCCCATATAAGTAGGTGCGTTTTCAGGGTTAAGAGTTGTTTTCCAGCCTCCATAAATCACCCGATTGGCTGCGCTGTCGAGGATGCTCCTGTATTTCCAAAGTTACAGGATGCCCATTAACACGTTTTTACTACTAGCTGTGAAATTAAGTTCAGCTGCAGCAGCACGGGTTGCGTTTTCCTTCCAGCAGCTTTCAACACCCCAGGAATAACACTGGTTCCTATCTAAAGCCGCGTCCAATTTAAATGAGTGATTTATGACAATTAATGCAAATGGCTTAAAGAAGATTTAAAAGGCTATTAAGTGTCTATGGTAAATCAAATGTACTAATTATTTGAAGACAATCTAATCATTTTGACATGCAAATAAACGTTTGTGAACATATATAGACTCAAGAAATTGAAAATCATCTTCCAGATACAAACAAGTACTTAATGGTATTCCAGAGCAGCCTTTTCAGTTTGAGAAAAATTAAACTATTTAAAATTAAACAGATTTCTATTTAAATCTCAATTTCACTTCCTGATGGACTACATTATCAAAGAAATTGCTCATATTAACAATAAAGAAAGCATTTAGAGCAAAGAAGTACTCATTGGACAATTAGTAAACGTAATGATAGGCTCAGTCTTGTAGAAAGCTAGGAGGGAAATCTGCCTAAGGACGCCCAGGTTAGGCACAAGGTATTTGATACAGCTGCCTCCTCTGCTGGTGTAAATCCAAAGATGCCCCAAAGTCAGCTCACTGTCTGTTTCTGTATGGTAATTGCTCGAAAGGAGAGCAGAGGACAGTGAGAGGAGGCAAAACTGGCTAAAGTGGAGATTTTGGATCCCTCCACTACAATTCAATGCAGGGAAGGAGAGGAGTCTAGAAAGAGGGCTGTTGTGTTCAGTGAGGAGGTGGTTTTCTCAAGACAGACTCAAAGAAATTGTAAAGGCCCAAGAGCTCTCTCGACCTCGTGATGACAGATTTCTGACAGTCCCATTAAGAATGTGGTTAAGTGCCTTGAAAAGTAATGAGCTCCCATCTGTAAAGTCCTCCAAAAACATACTAAGTCTGGAAAACCATTACTCTGTTATGCAAGAGCAGTCTCTTCTGCAAGGGCAGGCATGCATCACTTGTGAGGAAGTTTGGGAATCATCCTTACCAGTATTGTCCTACTTCTTCAGTC